GGCAGTGGTTTGTCATTTGCTTCTTAAGCTCATTTTATAGTTGAGGGACTGAGGTAAACAGGATTAAGTGACTTTCTCAGGGTCACACATCTAGTAAGGGTCTGAGGCCTGATTTAAACTCATGAAGATGAATCTTCCTTATCCCATGCCTGGCACGAAATCCACTGTGCCACCTAGCTGACCCTGAAGGGAGAAGGGAGTGGAGTGGATACTTTAAAGGAAAAATTATTGAACTTAGTAACTGTATGTGTTGGGGGAGCGAGAAGAGTTGGATGACTGTGTTTGTAGCCTATGTGATTAAGAGAATAGTAGTCTCTGACATCAAGAAATAGGAGATAATTGGAGTGGAAATAAAATGGGTAGATGACTTTTGACTTTAGGAATATTGAGTTTGAGTTGTAACAGAATATCCAGGTGGAAATATCCTGAACATCTTAGCAAATGAGACTAGCTCTCTGGAGACAGGTGGGATTGGAGGACTTGGCTTCCTGTTCCTTAACATGAAAGTATATTTGGAAGCTTTGGGAGAAGATAAAGTCCCAGAGATGGCTTGTGAAGAGAAAGAAGAACATAGTGAGAATCTATAGAAATAGTACCATTGAAAGGGTGAAAGAAGGAAGAATAGGAGCAATCTGAGAAATAAAAGAACTAGAATAGTGCATTACCAGGTAATTAAAAACTTGACTTTCAAGTAATTGTTGTAATCTATAGTCTTTTATGTTTTTCCAGAGTTGTCTGGGAAGATGAGGACTAAAGAAATACTGCTGCATCTGGCAACTAGGAAAAACCATTGTTAATCTTAGAAAGAATAGTTATTTTTAAAAAACTATTATTTTTTCAATCAACAAAAATCTACTTTCTCTCCCTCCTACCCCCACTCTTACAGACTCTGTCAGAAACATGTATAGTTAAGTGAAACAAGTTTCTATATTGGCCATGTTCAAAAAATATTCTATACTCTGAATGACTTATCAGGAGGTGAGTAGCATGAATCATTGATAGTCCTCTGGTATTGTGATTAGCCATTACACTCATCAGAGAGAATTCCTACATTTTCAAAGTTGTTTGTTTTTACAATACTATTGTTACTGTATAAATTTTTCTCTGGGTTCTGTACATTTCATTCTGCATCAGTTCATATAGGTCTTTCCAAAACCATCCTCTTCATTATTTCTTACAGCAAAATAATATCCCATTACATTTGTCTACCATAACTTGTTCAGTCATTCCCCAGTTAATGGGTACCTCCTCAGTTTCTAATTTCTTGCCATCACAGAAAGAAATGTAAATTTTTTTTTATATGCTTGTTTGGAGTTTGTGTTGTTTAGGACTAATCTCTTTCTTAATCTAGTCTTCCTCTAATTCTTCCTCCTTTCTCACCTTTCCCTTCTATTTTCCTGTTGAGTAAAATGCATTTCTCTCCCCAGCTATGTGTGTGTATTCTTCTGTCCTTTGACCAGTTCAAATGAGAACGCGATTCAAATGTCAGTGGCTTCCCCTACACTTTCCTCCTTGTTTATATAAACTTATACTGCTCAGTGGACCATTTCAGATAATCTTCCCTAACCTTTCCCTCCCTTTTTTGTCTCTTGGACTAAATTAGGGTTAGAATATAAAGAATTTAACCTTTTTTAGTCCCTTACGATTGTTCATTCTTTTTTACCTTTTTATATTTCTTTTTACTCTTCTGGTTGTACTTCAAAGTTTCTATGCAGTTCTGATCTTTTCATGAGGAATGCTCAGAAGTCCTCTATTTCATCAAAGGTTTGTCTCTCTATCCCCCCTCCCCCCACCAATAGCATTATACTCACTTTTGCTGGGTAAGTCATTCCTGGTTATATGTCTATATCCTTTACCTTCTGAAATACCACACTCCAAGCTCTCTGCTCCTTTAAATTGGTGGCTGCTAAATCCTGTGTGATCTTGACTGTAGCTTTTTGGTACTTGAATTCTTTCTTTCTGACTAATGGAAATATTTTTTCTTTGCTTTCAGTTTTTGCTGTAATGCTCCTAGGACTTCTCATTTTGGGATTTCTTGTAGGAGGTGCCTGGTGAATTCTTAGCCTGGTTTTGGGTCTGAGCAGGGGGCTTTTGGACTTGCCTTTTAGGAGATTGCTTCTGAGCTTGGTTGCTTTCAAACAGTGAAATGTTCTGAAAAATCAGAGTGGCAGAACTTAAGGCTGTCCTTTAGTTTGGGATTTTTGCTCTGATTATTCTGCTTTAAACTGAGTTAGAAGCTGAAAATGATTACTTGCTCTGTTCTTGGGAGTGAAAGCCATGTAGTTGCTATTTGCTTCTGAACTTGAACCTTTCTTGGTTAACAGCCCAGATCTGTGACCACACCTCATCCTTAGTCCACCTTCCATCTCTGACTTGGAAGTGGGTAGAGCTGCCAAATACCTGTTCTTGTACCATATGCAAATTGAAGGTTCTTGTGCTGCATCTGGGATCTTCTTTTTCCCTGGTGCACAACCTTTCCTTGCAGTGGAGTGTTCCATGCTTGGCCCCTGGCCAGGCCCCATCTACAGTGTCTACAGACTTCTCTTTCTGTCTCTCTTTGCCTACCTGGCATGGAAAAATGACTCACTTTGATTTTTTTTCTTAATTTCCTGTTACGTATCCAGTGTGGTGTATTTTCTAGAACTTTTTGGAAGAAATTTTCTTTTTTTTTTTTCTGTTTTGAGGTGACTGTACTTCTTTTTGCTATTCTGCCCTCTTTACTCTAAGAAACAGTTTCAATAGAAGTAGCAGGTAGACATGGAAAGGAAGAAGCCTGGCTGGCAAGGAGTTGAGGAATTAGTGGGTAATAAATGTAGATTACTATTTTGAGGAATTTGTCAGCAAAGTCAAAAATGAAAAGAGAGAGAAAAAGAGGCAGTGTGAGGAGTCAAGGGGCTTCGGTCCTTGTTGTTTTCTAGTCAGCTCATCTTCCACCCCAGTTAGACCCACTGTGGCAGATGAAGACCTGGAGGCACTGTGGAAGTAGAGGCTGGCTGAACTCCAGGCAAAGCACAGGGACTTTTCTGGCAACCCAGCACAATAGGACGCAAAACACAGGGAAGCAGAGATGAGAAATGGTATTTTAGCTCAAGTTGTGGATCAGTCAGCATGGGCCAGGTTAAGTGATTTAGCTCTTGTAAAGCTAGAAAAGGCTAAAGCAGTAGAGAACTACCAAATACAGATGGCAAGATATGGACAATTGAGTGCAAAGGTATCAGAGCAAGGATTGATAGAAATTTTTGAACAAGTAAGCCGCCAAACAACAGAAGGAAAATAACAGTTAAGTTCAACAGAAGAAAAGTAATGGATTCTGATAAAGATGATTAATATTGAAATCTAGTTTAAAGACTCATAAATTTCTTCAAAAATTTCTAGAAAACGATAATACTTGGCAGAAGTGAAGATCTAATTAAATGGTAACTTTGCTTTCTGTATACATTTTGAGAAAGAGGGGCAAATAAAAAGGACTTGATTGTGTTTAAAAAAAAAAAAAGAAAGAAGCAGCAGCAGTGTGGTGTAGTGGAAGGAGCACCAGAGTTACCAGAAAACCTAGGGTCTCATCCCAGTCCTGCCAGTCCAAGCCTTGTGGCCTTAGGCAAGTCATTAACCTCTCTGCATTTCAATTTCCTTTGTCCAAGCCAGAGCATCCAGAGCATTATACTAGATGAGCATTATACTAGAGATCTCTATGGCCCCTTCCAGCTAAGTCAGCACGCTTGAGGGAGGTGGGGTGTGTGTGTGTGTGTGTGTGTGTGTGTGTGTGTGTGTGTGTGTGTGGTTTTTTTTTTAAGAATGAGATAAAATATTTTAAAGGATGAGGGAATAATTAATTGATAGTTGTTGGAATCAAGGGCGCAGGTAGCCTTGTAGAGGAAAGGAGATAGTAATTCCTGAGACAGGAGAAAGGGCCAAGTGAACATGAAGCATTTGTGTAGAAGGTATATGGAAGAGGATGGAAAGGGAGAACTTGAGGGAGCTCATTCTTCTCAGTAGAGTAAGGGAGTGAGGAGTTAGGAGTCAGTCTGTGAGGAGCACAAATTTAGGTTTGGTAATTTGAGAGTGGAAAACAATCATTGCAGGGAGTATGGTAGTAGGTTCTTTAAGCAGCAGTGAAAATGTTCCTTTTCTTAGCCCTGTGGAAGATTCCACTGACATCCAGCTAATATGGAAAACTGAGATTTAAATTACTTGACAGAACTTCAGAAGTGATGGCAGTGGGGTCTTACTGCTTTGAGTCTTTCCTTTAAACTCCGTGGGTGTGAGATCCATCAAAGTGCCCAGGGGCAGAGAGATTAAAAGCATTCAATTGAATCTTTAGTTCAGTTTGGCAAAAACAGCTTTTCTTGTAACGCTGGTGTGTACTCTTAAGTTTGTTTTATTGACATTTTTCTAAGTTTTTATGTTGAAAGCTTGTAAAAACACTTTTATTTTGGTATTACATATATTAGTCCACTTAATAAAAGGATTTGTTCTGTGAAGTTTGGATTCAGTCAAAGTGCAGCCCTCAGGTTCCCCACTCCTATTCTAGGTGATTTTTCAGATCCCTTCCAGTTTTACCATTTTATAATTCTGAGAATCTTTGTCTATAAAATGCTAATTGAATCTTTCTTCTCCTAAGAAAGATCTTTCCTGCTTACTAGATGGTATATATTTCAAATATATTCTATGGTAGTAAGGTAAATTTCAGCTCATGTACTTCTGATTTATAGTGAAGACATGTTTGGTAGAAGCATGAATTCAGAATTCTCTGGCGGGTGTGTGTGTGTGTGTGTGTGTGTGTGTGTGAGAGAGAGAGAGAGAAAGAGAGGGGGAGAGAGAGAGATACACATAATTGAAGGTTGACCCCATTATTGTGAATTTTGTAGTTGTTTATTTTCCATGAAATTTAAAAATGAGTAACATGTAAAATGAGAAGAATATGTGTTTAAATCTTACTAATAAACTTCTTTCTTTTATAGGAAAGTCTGAGTAATGATTTTTTCTTTCTTGTCTTTTTACAGCTTTTGGAAATTAATTGGACAGGACTAACTAATCTTCTGGATATTCCTGGACTAAAGTAAACATTAAATAATCTGGTTTAATAGATAACTTATTAATAGTTTAATATTTTAGTGATTAGTTGCTGAGCATCTGTATTTTGTTAATAATGTTGAAGAAGGGATGTTTTTCTTATACTCTTCTGAAAAAAGAGGTTGCATCGTAACGGCTGTGTAAGAATATAAGCGACTTGAGGATACAGTGGCATAACATAAGGAGAAAGGGCACTGGAATTGTCAGTAGCCCTAGGTTAGAATCCATTTTCTGGTATGTGCTACATATGTGACCTTGGGCACGCCAGTATACCATATGGGGCTTCAGTTTCCTCATCAGTAAAATGGGAGGCAGGGATGAGGGTTAGGAGGTAGAGTAGATCCTCTTTGTGGTCCTACTTAGCTCCAGATTTGCTAGAGTAATAATGGTTTCAGAAGGCCTCTGAGTCCTGCCTCCCCGCTCCCTAATCTCCCCCACCCCGGCCCCTTTTAAAGTCTATTTTGATGTTTTTTCATCACCATGTCCTTTCCTGCAGAGAGGAAGTATGGTAAAGTGAATAGGTTTCATTGGTCCAAATTTGAGCCCTGGCTATTGCTAGCTTTGTTATCTTGAGCAAATCACTGAGTCTTTGAACATGAATTTCCTCATATGCAAAATAGGGATAATTATACTTGAACTGCTTATCTCCAAGGGTTATTGGTGAGGAAAGTGCTTTGTAAATTATAAAATGCTAAGTATCAGATTTCATCGTCATTATCATCACCTTTAACCTGACAATTTAAGAAAACAGCTTTTTAGCTACAAATATACATACACATCCCTCTGTATATACATATACGTACAAACTACACACATATAAACACACGTATATGTTTATATTTATTTAGATTTTAATTTAACAAAACAAAAGCCTAACATTTTGAGCATGTTATCAAAAGATGATCCATTGGCTTCAGTTTGCTTTTCAAGTTATTCTACCATCCAGGCCTCAGCCACATTTTATAAGTTAAAATCCTTGATTGCCAGAATGATTGCTTAAAGGCACTGGGCACAAACATTGGACTTTCTGGAATTTCAGAGGGGGGTGGTGTGAAATGAGAGGTCATGTCACCTATTTGGAGTCTCTTCATCAACCTGAAGCAATGAAATGTTGACAGAAAGTGCAAGCCTTTTCATGCAGTGAGCGTTTGTAAACTTTCCAGGGAACACACCCCTTCCTGGTGAGAAAAATGTAACCAATCTAGTTCTGTTGTTGTTCATCTGCCCCAAGCTTTGAATGGTGCTTATTTATGGCAAAGCTATAAGTCACTAACCTGAAAAGGAAGTTCTGTAATTATGGACAGTAGTTGTGAACTCTTTTGTGGTGCTGCTTATATCTGAAAGTTATTACTCATTCAGTTTACATATATTTCTGTATCGTATCAGCAAAGGAGTGTTTTTGTCCATTGCTTGCATATTTGGTTTTTATGTCTTTGAATTTCACCACTGAAAAGCTCTTAGGTATAATTCAAATGTTACTGTTATATAAGTTAGGAATTTATGAAGTATTTAATAAGCATAGTTATATTAGTACTAACCTATTTTATACATAACTTCGTTTTTTTCTGATATTAAACAGGCTGTTACTGTGTTTTCCTTCAAAATCTGTATTTTAGCGGGAAAGTTACTTCTGTTTTCTAAATAAATTGGTACTTTCCCCCTAACTATACAATGAGTGAATAAATATTTGTAAAAGTATACTCTGTAGACAGCATTCTGCTGTGACATTGTAAGGGATCATGAATACCAAAGTTAAAAGATATCTTAGAGGCTATTTGATAATCCTGTCCACACCCTTCTTCAGTCCAGTAGGACAAGTATTGGTATGATCAGTGCTTAAACACCTGCCTACAGTAAGATACCACCTCCTGAGACAACCCATTCCACTTTTGGATAGCTCTGGTTGTTAGAAAATTTTTCCTTACATTAAACCTAAAATTGTTTCTTTAAAACTTCTACATTGTTCCTAGTTCTTCCCTCTAGGACCAAGGAAAGTTAAAAATCCTTCTACATGACAGCCTTGGAGGTACTTGGCCACATGTCATTCCCCATGAGTCTTCTTCTCCAAGCTAAAAATCCCCAGTTCCTCTAACAATTCTCATTTGGCATGATTCTGCATCCTGCTTTCCCTCCCTGGATGCTCTTCAGGTCATCACTATCTTTTTTGCTTTTTTTGTAGATCATACTAAGGCTCAGAGAATTTGAGTCACATACCTAAGATCACAATGGTTTTGTCAGAGGATTGATTTGAACCTAGGCCTATGAAGTCCAGAGTCAGTGATCTTTGCACTGATACTACCTTCTTCACTTAGGCAATCTCTGAAAATTAGGTGGCTTTCCTTGTTAAGGCAACCCCCATCTACATGTATCTTTGATCCTGTCCTCTTCCATCCTTTCCGGCAAATTGTCCCTTCAGTCATCTCCTCTAATTTTCTCTCTATCTACTGATTATTCGCCTGTTGCCTTGAAACATGCCCAGAACTTCTTATCCTTAAAAAAATCTTCATTGAGTTTTAATTTCCCCATAAGCTATCTTTATTTTATCTCTTTATTTATCTCTCCAGCCTTTCTCAACCAAAGCCCAGGAAAAAGCTGTCAATACCAAGCTACATTTCCTCTCTTCTCCTTCATTCCTCCAATCTGCCTTTCAGCCTCATCAATCAAGTGAAAGTGCTCCCTTTAGCATTACCAATTATCTCTTAATTTCCAAATCTGATTTTTTTTGTCCAGTTCTCATTCTTCTTGACCACTTTGCTATATTGACACTATTAAACATCTGGATATTTTCCCTTCTTTTTTTTTTTTAGGGGGCTTTGGACAATACTCTCTCCTGGTTTTGTTCTTATCTGACTAGTTCTTCTCAGATTCCTTTACTGGTTCATTATCCAGTGCTAACTGGGCATACCCTTAAAGCTCCCTTGGGCCCTTTCATTATCTTTTCTCTCTCAGTGACCTTATCAGCTCCCATGGTTTTAAATATCATTTGTATATACATAACTCAGTTGTCCATGTATCTGAGCTGAGACTCTGTCCTGAGCCTCCATTTCTATATTCCCAACTACTTATTGGATATTTAATTTTTAATTAGATTTTTTTTTTCAATTAACAAGTGTTAATTCTCCTTCTGGGGAAAAAAAAATAAGAACTCAAACTGGCTGTTTCATAACCATTGTAAAATCATTATGTCCAAAATAAAGCTCATCATCTTTATTCCCAAAGCCTCCCAATTACTGAGCTTTCTTATTTCTGTTGAAGATTCTACTATTCTTCCAGCCTTCTAGGTTCATAACCTTGGCCTCATCCTTGACTCTTCACTCTTTCTTGTACTCTACTCCTTCCCCACAATCTGTGATCCAGTTATACTGGCTTTTTTGCTCTTCCTCATACATCACACTCCATGTCCCATTCTTTGCAGTAGTGCTGGCTTTCCACCATGCCTGGAAGGTTCTCCTTCCTCACCTCTGACTCTTTGCTTCCATAATTTCCTTCTGAACTCAGCTAAAATCCTTCCTTCTTCAGGAGGTCTTTCCTACCATTAACAAGGACAGTAGAGTTTGATAGTGGCTGAATAGCAGTCTTCTTATTGTGATGCAACTGGTAACCAAAGTACTTATGTCAGTAGACGGGTTTTTTTTTTTTTTTGGTTTCCTTTTTTAGGAAAATTATTGCATTTCTTGTGCCAAAGTAGACAGGGAAAAGAACATCTGCTTTGCCAGTATGTAATGTAAAAATCACTGTAGCAAATAAGGGGGTGAAAGGAGAGGGAAATAGTCAGTATAAGTGTTGGATTAATTATCAGTGAGAGGAGAGATGTGGGAAATGCATTATCATGTGAGTATTTAATAACATGTATGGAGCTCTATAGCTGAAAGTACTAAAGTATATTAATTGTATATTAAGCATCTATGCCCTAAGGGTACTATCAAGGAGTGTCTTTCTTCTTTTATATACAGAAAAATTGAAAATGAAGGGTATCCTGTTATACATCAAAGAATAATAGCTTATATTGATACAGCATTTTTTAGTTAACAAATGCTTTCTCAAACATAATTTCATTGGATCTTCATAACAACCCTATATAAAACCAAAGTAGATATTATTAAAAATGGAGGACAGGGTGGTTGTAAGTATCAGTTGAAATAATTATTTATCTTGTTTTGTCTATGATTCACTATAGTACTCAATTTTCCATGGTTGTAATATAGTAGATAATGACAGTTTCTATTTCATACTAGAATCAAAAGTTGATTGTCTTTTAGAAGGATTCATGTGTGGAATATTCATGTACTTCATGCAGAGTGGGAGATAGAAATTTAATGAAATATGTTTTCATTTTGAATGTTAAATACTTAATGATGGAACCAATAAGTTGTCTTGCTCTTAGGAAATTACACAAGTTAATCAAATCTTTATATTTTCAGACCACAATATAAATTATAGCAGCTTTAGTAGTGAGAATGCCTTCCTATTCACTAATTCTGAATGCTATATTTAAAAAAAACTAGACTATTACCTGAGTGAGCAAGGGAAATTTTTAACTGTCACTATCGTGTGAGTTAATTATTACCTATGAAAACCTATTTTGATATATGACAGTTGTTTTTCTTTTATCTTACAGTGGCTTATCAGATACTATCATTCTGGATATAATATCCAATTACTTGGTGCTTCCTAATCGAATCACAGTTCCTCTTGTCAGTGAAGTTCAGATTGCTCAGTTGCGATTCCCTATACCAAAGGTAAGCATATTATATTCTTATTTAAAAACAAACAAACAAAACCCATTTCTTTCTTTAAAATTAACTGATTAGAACCTCTTCTGATGCCAACATTATTTCTTCTTTCAACAAGTCCATTTCTTGCTGTGGAAATACAAAATTAACCCAGTCACCTTGGAGAAGAAGTTTTGAGCCAAAAGTATAATGCAAAAATATTATGACAATTTACAAATGTTTGATGGATCTTCAGTAATTCTTAAAATAAAAAGGCTTATTGCCAGATGTTTAATCCAGTAAATGTTACATTTGAAATATGGTAAATTGGATGATAGCTTTGAAAGTGACTTTACTTATGTGATATCCTAAAAAACGTGTCTAAGAATTCAAATTCATACTTTGCTTCTACATTTATTTTTTCTTTTGGTAAAGCATTATAAGAAACAGTACTAGTGGTAGTATACTCAAGATGGAGAGCCTTTCTCTATGTTATGAAACAGTTGTCACCCAAGCTTTAGAACTCGGTTCTTTTTTGAGTCTGAAAGAAGATCAGGTAACATATATTAAAGGATTGACTTCAAAGTTCTTGTACTGAAATTCTTTCAGCTAAACTTAGTACTATTAACAAGATAATTGTTTGTTAGGATTTGAAGAGATGCTGTCATTTCCGGTTGGAAAGACGTACGTAACCAAAATGTTTGTAGTAACATTTTTTGTGATGGCAAAGAATTGGATATGAAATAGAGGCCCATAGTTTGGGGAATGGCTAAACAAATTGTGGGATGTGAATGTAATGGAATACTACTGTTCTATCAGAAATGAAGAATGTGACCAATGCATAGAAGCAGGGAGAGACCCACAAGAAGTGTAGAATGAAGTAGGTAGAACCAAGAAAAACGATACGTGAAATGACTACAGCAATGGAAATGGGAAGAACGACTACACACAGAAAAATTCAGTGTAACCAAATTATAAAGAACAAGCATGCTTCAAAAAGAATATATGATGAAACAGTCCCAATCTATCACTTTGCAAAGCGGGGAGGTCCACAACACAATGTGTCCATTACACGTGCTTTCAGACTTTTTAGATGTATTGACCAGTTAATGCTCATTTTCCCTGTTTTTCTTTTTTAATCTTTTAAAAAATAATAAAGGCATCATCAAAAAATTATTTTTTCAAAAGAAAGGAATTAATGATACTCTCCCAGAGCTACCAAAACTATTCTACAAAGATGATAAAAATACTTTTGTATGTTTTATTAGTTCCCCATAAACTCTTTCTGGTTTCAGAGAAATAATCCCTGTGATAAGATACTAATATGTAGTTGATTGAAAAATAAGATGTCAGCATGATCTTACTTGGAGTATACCTGAAATTTTTTCATAGGCTTCTTAAATACTGTCTTTGAGGAAAGTATGCAAAATATTTGTACATTTATACTGTTCATTAAACATTAATGACATAAAATCACTCAAATATACTCTTCAGCTAATTAATTTAGAGTTGGTTACATTAGATATTTCTAGTTTGAAAAGGAAAGAATTCAGCTTAAAATATACTAAAAAATTCAGGTCATATAAGAAGTTTCTCAGAAAAATACTTAAATTCTAAAAAATGATCTTATGAGGAAGAGTAGAAAAGTTGTCCTCTCAAAGTCTTACTCTATCTTCTGAAGTTTTTATGAGTTATTACAAATTTTATATCCTTTTCCCATCGATACAAGAAGTTGATTTGAATTCTCTTGTGTTGTAATGGAAAGGTGCCTCTTTATTTCTTTAGTAGGGTTGTTATAACACACACCTTTCTAGCAAAAGTCAATATTGTTACCTGTCACCTCTCTGGATTCTGGAATGATGTATTATATAGGATGTCATACACAGAATCCATTGTTTTCACTAAGATCAAAAGGAATTCAGTCCCATTTTGGGGAGAGTAGAAATAATGAGTACTTAATTGGTTCCTTCAGCTGCCCTTTATATAAGTTGGATGAGCCTGTGTAAATGTTCTAATTTTGATGTAGTGATTACAGCAAGGAATCTAAATGCCATAGTGGTTAGCTGTATTTTGGAGGTGGGAGGGGTAGTTTTGTATAAGCTGTGTCACACCAGGTAAATTTATGTTAAGAATCAGTCAGACAATAAGCATTTATTATGTGCTTACTGCATACTAAGTACTCTGATAAATGCTGGAGAATTCAAATGCAGAAAACAGTATGTAGTTTTACTTGAATAGAATTAGTGTAGTAGTACATTGCAGAGAGCAAGATAGTGTTTTAACTTCTTTCATCATTGAAAAGCCAAAAATTTACTGAAATTTAGAAATTGTTTTCTGGTACCATTTAAAATATGCAAACTTTAGGGGCAGCTCAGTGGCACAGTGGATAGAGCACCGACCCTGAAGTCAGGGGGACCTGGGTTCAAATCTGGCCTCAGACCAAACACTTGACACTAGCTGTGTGACCCTGGGCAAGTCACTTAACCCCAATTGCCTAAAATAAATAAATAAAAATAAAATATACTGACTTTAAGACTCGGCATATGTTTACCTTATGTCTATTGCCAAATTTATCTTAATTTAATATACCAGAAATTTAGAAGCATAAGACTTGTGCAGTTGTATTTTTCTCTGTATAAAATATAAACAATTAAAAGGGCACCTTCCCTTTTTAGAGAAGTCCTGTTAAAGCCACAATATTGAAAAAACTAACATGTAAAAATAAGTCAAGAATTCTTCAAAGTAAGCAACCATTTAATACTTTTATTTTTTGTCTTCATTCTCAGGGTGTTTTAAGAATACATTTCATTGAAGCTCAGGATCTGCAGGGTAAAGATACTTATCTTAAGGGCCTGGTCAAAGGAAAATCAGACCCCTATGGAGTTATTCGGGTCGGCAACCAAATCTTTCAAAGCAAGGTCATCAAAGAAAATCTCAGTCCAAAATGGAATGAAGTTTATGAGGTAATTGTACACACTGCATTTAATTTTACAATATTGATTCTCACGCTTCCAACTTAGGCCATCAAAGTCGTTTGGTTTCGTGAAAGGAATACTAAACTAACTAGGGGTGTGCTGGAGCACACTCACAGAGGCTCACAGGAGCTCATTGGTAAATTTTCAGTGTAAGGATTTATACCTTGGAAATTGACTTGACATATTGTCTTGTTGGGGTCTAACCTTAGGAAAGTGATGGAGAAAATGTTAGTAATGCAGATTAAACTTAAAAGTGTGTCTTTTTTTGTTGTTGTTGCTGATGAGCTGATTGTTAAACATTTATCATCCTAGCCCTGGAGCTGGTAGACATAGATTCAGATTCCAGCCCTGCCACTTAAAGTAGCTGTGTGAACTTAGAAAACCATTCCTACCATTCCTTGCCTCATTTTCTGTTCTATAAAATGGAATTAATATCTGGCTTGCCTACCTTGCATTTCTCTGTATGTTTGTGCAGGAAGGTAACAATATATAAATATATTTTGGAATGCTATTTGCATTTTGGCGTTTTAGTGCTAGTTTATTTCAATATATTTTGGCAAAAAGATTGGCCTGAGAGTCAAGACCTGATTTCTAATTGTGGCTCTGCTTTCCCCATGCCTTTATCTTGGACAAATAAGCTAAGTTTTCTGGTACTCAGTTTCCCCTTCTGTAAACAATGCCTGCCTCTCCCATTTAAAAAGGTCATGGTGAGGGTTGGAAAGAATGGATGTGTGAAAATTTTGAAAATGTTAAAGATTTTTAGAAATGTGTTATTACCATCGGTAATAGAAAACAGCAATTGATGTTTTATTTTTCAGGCTTTAGTTTATGAACATCCTGGGCAGGAGTTAGAAATTGAGCTCTTTGATGAAGACCCAGACAAGGATGATTTCCTCGGAAGGTAAATTCCTTATGTATATGACATCGTAATGTAATCTGTTGAATTGTGTTGTGATGAAATACCATATTTAGGTTCATTTACTGTACATACTGATAACGACATGAGCCATAATGTGCGGTTGATTTAGTATCTGTCAGAGAGTCAGCGTCAAAGCCAGGAAGACCCAGATTCAAGTCTTCCTCTTAACATGTCCTAGCTGTGTGACCCTGAGTACATCAGTCATTTCACTGCTTATCGCTCCAGAAACCCTCTAAGATTATAACTTGAAGAGAAGATACCACCCTACGTTGGCAGAGGGACCTTCCTCATCTGGGCGTTCCCTGTATCAGTCGTAAGCTGAGTCCCTGTCAATAATAATTGTCACTGGTGTTGCTAAATAATAATTTCACTGAGGTGAAATTGAAATATCATTTGGAGGGAGTATTCCAGAATGTGGAAATAATTTTACAACCAAATAAACCACTTCAATACAATCGTATAGAAAAAGATCTTACTGCGCTTTATTGCACTAGATGCTTTGATGCCTGCTATGGTGCCAGTAATTCATAACATTGGAGAATAAGTGATTGATTCAGACAATTCAGCTAAAAAGTTTTTAAAGCAGAATATCCTGTTAGTATAGTACTAATATAGCCTTAATAGATGGGTATTCTCCAGTAATAAAATTCTGAATTGTACACTCCAGTTTAATAGTGCATATTACTAAAAAGAAAAAAAATCAAATTGTGCTTGTTGAATTTTTCTAGGAAGAAGTTTTGAATGTGTCCAAAGCCTGAATATCTTTCATTTTCTCTTTTTTTCCTTCTTTACTTCTGCTTGTCATTCTTCCATGCCTTAGTGTCTTAATTTTCTAAATGTACTTTTCCTATATTTTTAACATTTGTATTTATTTTTACCTTTGCTTTGCTCCTAACATCATGTAGTTGTCTCTTCTGACTTAGTTTTCCAGAGGCTTCTTTCTGATGGTTCACTTATGTATAAACTACATAACATTTTTGGAACCATCTTCTACTGGTAGAAGAATATTTTATGCATTTTGTTTTTTTTCCTGTTCAGTTTCATCTGAAACCCAGTTATATGCTTCTCCTAATTCCTTCTTCATACCCAAGGGCTTTCTCTTTTATTTTCTAGTTTCTATTTTAAAAATGTTGAGCTTTTTGGAAAACTTCTAGGTGGTCTATTCTTTCTAATTTGAGGGATGAGGTGATTCTTCTAAATATGAGTACCCTTATGGTAGGAAAAAAGTTGTGATTTTTATTAACAGTGTGGACTTTTTTTTATTTTGAGCAGCTGTAACAACTTAATAGCTAGAGCTGTAGCACTTAAGAGAAATTCAACTTTATTGTAGCTGCTTAGCCTTCTTCTCCTTCCATCCCTCATAAGATCCCACCCTTGCTCCCTCCTCTTTATCCACAGCAACTATGTTACTGCTTGGACATGTCTATAAGGTTGTATATAAACACCCAGAATCGAGGTGGATACTCGTTTCTTTAACATAATAATTAATAGATAGCTTTCTTAATTTGCTTGTTTCTGTAATACCTTTAGATGTGTCTATGCTTAAGAGTGCTCAATTTCAGGTCAAAGCCTGTGCTACTTCCTAGTGTCGCCAATGACCAGTCACTTAATGTCCGTCTCTAGGCCTCAGTTTCCTTATCTGTAAAATGAGTTAAATAAATAACCTTTAAGATGCCTTCAAACTCTTAATCTGTGATCCTGATATCTTATGATTGCTTCCTTTGTGTAAAAAAAAGTACCTTTGATCCCAGTGCCCTGAAGCTGTGATGCTATTGTTTCTTTAGTCTGATGATCGATCTGATGGAAGTTGAGAAGGAACGCCTCTTAGATGAGGTAAGTTGCCTTTTGTTGGTTAAGCTCTTTGGGTGCCTTTCTGGCAGCTTTGTCTTAAGCCTCCTGATTTTATCATTGTAACCTTTGCAGAGAAGCCATCCTAAGCAGGTTTTGATGAACTCAGTACTTATATTGATATTAGCCAGTATAGAAATGCTGCAGCAAAGCTAAATACACATCAGTAACATTTTTGAATGCTTTATGCTAGTCACTATAGGGGATAAAAAGAAGTATGAGAAGGTTGGGGATATAAAATGTAAGTACTCATAAAGTTAAGTAATAGAGGTTTAATTAATAGCTCAATTCAATAATAGATATCTTCAGGCAGTGTGAAAAGTATTTAAAGTAAGAGCTATAGGAGAGAAAGAAACCATGTTCTGCATATTCTGGAAAGAGTTTAATGGGAAAGGTGGGATTTGAATTGGTATTGAAGGAGATGAAGGATTTAGCTAAGTGGGGGAAAAAATGCATTTATTCCATACCTGTGTATTAATAGTATAAGTTTTTATTTTTCACATTATAGTTGCTAAAACAGGAATGAATAAACTTTTACTTTGTTGTAGTCAGTAAAACAAATTGTAAATTTAGTTTAAAAAAGAGCTTTCTAGCCTTTCTTTGCTTATAATTCTGATTTTCAGAGCCGTTATTGTTACTAGGACAGCGTAAACATTTAAACATAAGTATAAGCCCTTAAATTTTTCAAATTATGTCCTTTAAAGTATTGATGCTTCAATGTACTGAGGCTTAAAATGTTTGAAGACGTTATTGTATTTTAAGCTTTTTGATGTATTTCAACAAGCCTTTATGGGTGAAAAATTGTCCAAATCAATTTTTAAAAATTGTCCAATATTTCATTTCAGTGGTTCACTCTGGATGAGGTCCCTAAAGGAAAATTACATTTGAAACTGGAGTGGCTCACGTTGATGCCAAATGTTTTGAATCTTGATAAGGTATTGTTTCTGTATTCAATCACCCTGGTTTTATTTAGGTTCATTCCTTTCAAATTTGTTAAGTTTAAAAAAAGATGACAGCATTATTTCTGAGTTTTCATATGAGGTCTTTTTATTCCTAAGCAAGATTCTGTTTCGTGTTTAAGAACATTCAAAGTATTTTAAAATAAATTTACAAGGTATATATTTGGTCTACACAGATTTCAGCTTTAAGTAATTGATATCTTTGTAAGAGCAAAAATTTACCAGAAGAGTCATTTATTTGACAGATATATAGTACATAAAGGAACATTGCTGTCTGATTTCATGACACTCATGTTTGCTTCTGTACCATCTTATTTTTCACTGAGCTGAAGGAAGGCATTAGTTTTAACTGGTCTAACTGATTAGTCTCATAAAAAAATAAGGTATCAAACAGATTGTCAAAATATTTTTAACAAGTATTTTGTTTTTAGGTGCTAACAGGTATTAAAGCTGACAAAAACCAAGCCAATGATGGCCTTTCTTCTGCATTGCTTATCTTATATTTGGATTCAGCAAGAAATCTTCCAGTAAGTTATACGCTGGTGACTCTTCCCTTGGTTGCTTCTAATTCCTTCTAGCACATTTGGTTGAGAATGTGTCCCACTGCTTCTATGAACCACATTGTGCCACATGTTCTAACCTTGCTCATGTTTTCCTGTACACACTGTTAGTCACTTTGTGTCTCAGAAAAAAGACAATGAGTTTTAATTTGGTTTAGAAAGTGTATTTTGATTTTGATAGTTCTTTGGACTGATCTCTTTTATAGGATTCGTGTATATATTGATTTCTTAAACTTGAGTAACTCTTGTGCCTAGAAAAATAAACATTGGGTTTTCATTCGTAAAAGTAGGAGTGTGACATTAATTCAGATCATGCAGTGTCTTGACTCCAGAGAAGATTGATGATGAAACGTACTTCCTTCTTCTCATTAGAAAGGCAGTAGGCTGCTAATGTTCCTAGTTGGTACTAGGTGACTAGTGCCAATGAAGCATATATTTTCTTATAGGCAGTGAATCAGTTGATTTTAATTATACTTTTCTATTTTAAGGGAGGGTTCTATTGGGATAGAAGAGGAGTTAGGAAGTGATAGCAGTGAAAAAAGCATCAATAAACCATGAAAACCAATGAAGAGTAGCCCTGAAGAAAGGTTGATGGGTAAAAAGAAAGAGCAGGAAATTACATTAATGATTATTAATTATCAATAAAATGTGAACCTGAAGTAGAAATTATAATTCATTGAAACAGAAAAACACTAAAGCGGAAGTTAAGTTCAAAATCTGAGCTCTATTCTTGTTGCACTCTAGCTTAATTTGGATTTAGTATCTAAAGTATTTACTCCTTGTAGTTTCAAGACTGTAGAGTAGGCTGGGTGATGATGGCAGTTGTGGGTTGAAAGAATGCTTCTATTTTTATATGATGTTATGAATTTTTGCTGGTACTTAAAACCTGAGTTTTCATTGTTGCATATTAAAAGGGGAAAAAAAAGTAACGTAGGCTTTTTTAAACCTAAAAGTAACAACAATTAAAAAAATTTTTTCCCTTAACTTCTATTTGCAGTGTTGTGTGTATAAACAAACATAATCACTTGGCTGTCAAGTTTTGAAGCAAATTTGTCATTTTCAAAATTTAAAACATGGAAAAGAAACCATGTTACATTGGTTAATGTGGTCCCCTAAAGTACTTAGTGAAAAAAAAAATACACGCAATGCAACTTTGCGGTTTTCTTATTTACAAAATGTAGTAGATCTTCATAGATGTACTGTCTTGATTGACTGCATTTGCTTACTTCATTAAATGACTGTTTATACTTTGTTTCAATGTACAGTTTCATCAGATCTGGTCAAAAAGAAACCTCATAGGCATCAAATGCTTGATTTTCTACATTTTTCTTCATAGCACAGTTTATTATACTCTTTTCTGCATGTTAGTAAAATCTTGTAATTGTCTCTTAAGCTTCTAGTTAGCTTTTGAGGACAGTTTCTTCCTATAAATATTGGTGAATATTCAGCTAGAGAATTTTCCCTGTTTTTTGTTTTTTGTTTTTTGTTTTTTTTTGACTCAGAGAATATGTGTGTGTGCATGTAGTTGCTTACGTACCCATATCAGATTAAAATAAGTGCCTCAGCTAGTTACCTCTTTCTCTTTGGACTAAGATTCTAGTTTGCTTGGTAGAAAAAAGGAAAAACAATAGTTGCTCTGCCCTTTGGTGAGGTCACCTTCTTTTAAACCAAGAAGGTCTCCAATACTCCTTTGCTCTAATTGCTACGACAATTTGATTGATGATGGTATAGTTAATATTGTTTCTTCTTTACAGTCTTCCTTTGAGCTTTTTAACATTTTACCAGTGTGTTTTTATGTGTATACGTGTTTGTACATTTTGTATACTTTATTTTACATCAAGAGGAAGAAAATGTATTCTATATAACTGTGCCTCCTGCAATGCTGTCTTCAGTATTTTTTGGAGTCAGCATGTGTAGATTATGTGATTTAATTGGGCTTTGTGAATTGTTGTTTTCTGATAATAGAACCCTGCCATAGAGTTTATTATCCTTTTACTGTAATTGTATTCCATTAAAAACCCCAGTTTAGCTGTATTGAACCTTTGGAATGTACTCTGTATTTGAAAAAAGTAGTAAGTTGATTGGGTTAGGTAGCTTCAATATTTTATAACTTCTACAATGTCAAATTGAAGTTTGGAGAATATAAAAAAAATGAACATGCTTAAAGATTTCACAAAGGGCACTTTGTGCATGAAATATGGCTGACAGAGGCAAAGAATTTTTGGAAAATATTTACTTGCTAAATTACTGACTTTTAAGAAGCTTGCTCACTGGGTCTTTCTGCAAGCTGTTGTGGAATCCTTTGACTCTTTTTCTTTACACTTTTATAATAGAAGGGCTTCTTGTGCATTCATTTTACCACAATCCATCACTCTTTGCTTTCTCCTTCCATTTTCACCTTCTTAAGAGTATCTACGAGGGAAACTTTGGGTGTGGCTACTTAAAAGAGAGGAGAGCATCGGGACTAGTCTTTTGTGAAAATACTACCTCAGTCTATAGAGCCCTATTTGTGAGTTCTCTGGTGTTATACTTTTTTCCTTTTTAATTGGAGACTGCTGGAGTGTGGACTGGTGCTTCTAAAGCAATCAACTTTGGCGGAATGACCAAGCATGCTTATTTGATTTCCTTGCATGGTTTCTACTATTATGCATTTTGTTGTGCTACTTAAATTTTTTTTTTAATCTAACATTGGTAAGTATATTACATCTTATGATGAGAAGCACAAGCTGAGTGAATTCTTAAGAAGTCATAGATATGGACTCCTAGGTTGATTTTGGCATACAGCCAAAGAAATTTTTTGGGGAATTTAAGTTTTATTGATCAAATTCTCCTTGTGATTGCTTTTCAAGTAAGATGTAAGGATGATTTTAGAGTGTACAGTTGTCCTTTCCCTTTAGTCCAGTGCCCTGCACCAACAAAATAGTGTCAAATATCAAGCTAAGCTATGACTCTATATTCTTTTGCTCTATATTATTCCAACATATAGTCAACTCTCAATTATCAGTGACAACAGTGAGGGGGATCACATGTACTTTGCATGAAATAGGTGTTCAGAGGTTAATAGAAAACCGAAGACCTTTTCCCCAGTTCCTCATTATTAGCGTCTAACAAAGAAAACATATGATTATTTACATCTCAACCTCCTTTTTGCTTAAGTTCATTTTCTGATGGAGTTGGGCAACCAGTAAAATAATCCCAAAATCATTAGTGTTAGTAGAGAAGATGTGTGGAGCTTGGATATTTCCCAAAATGGGTGGTTGAGAGTTCACTAAACTCTGATTCTGATGCCAGATACTGGCTTCTTTGCCTCTTTCCCATAATCTTATCCTTTAATGATTTGATTCATTCAATTGTTTTTTTTCCACTAGTGCTATTTAGTTGCTTTCATTTTCTGGGAAAGCCACAGACAGCTTACTAAATACACGCACGCACGCGCACACACACACACACACACACACACACGCACACACACACGGCAAAATTCTAGCTGTAAGAGTTTTTCAATATTTAGTGACTGAATCTTGAACTTCATTTGACCTTTGCACCTATGGCAAGTGGATGTTCATGATAATTCAAATAAATGGAATGCTTTATAATATGTAAAAGCATTTTCATATACGTTGTTTTATTTGGCTCTTATAACAGCCCTGTTGGGGAAAGACAAGTAGATGAGGAAATTGAGGGTTAAATGACTTGGCCAGTTTCTCACAACTGATTAGTGGAAGAACCATAATTTAAATACATGTCAACTGAAAAACAACAATAACAACAAACCTTATAAAATATGATACTATAAAATGAAATCTGTTAAAAAGATAGATGTTGGATATGTCCCATTATTTTTTCCACAGATTATTCTCAGTTATTTTCCACTGTGTGAATAATTTGAGAAGATTTCTTACCATTTATATGGGGTTTTTTTGGTTGCTTTGCAAATTTATTAAAGTTATTTTCACTTCACATTAATTTCTATTGAAGTATTAACAGTAGCATCTTCTCAGCAGTTTGTCCTAAATGGAATTGTTAGTAACTATTAGCACTGAAGGATTCATAATGGTATCAGACCCTATGAAATATTTGGCTCTTAAGTGTACCAGTGTGCCTTTAACCATTGCACTTTTAACATGCTTTAGATCGTTGTGTAGAACTTTCCGAATTCCAAGATCTCTTTATCACCACTAACTCCCTTCTGCATACTCCATTGTGTGATGTAAGAATTTCATATGTGGGAATCACTTATCTTTATACTCACAGCTCTCATAAGTTTATTTTGAATTCTTTTTTGACCAATCACCCAATATTTAATATTAATACGAAAATATAGCAGCAGGTGCTGTCATCCTGCACATGATGTCAGTGATCCTTAGAATTTTTCACACTTGTATCTAAGAATATATAAAATTAAATAGTTTTCTGCTATATGAATTCTTTAAATTCATAATTTTGTATGTCTGCCATACTTACAATGAATTACCTATAGATTAGTCAGAAGTTTCATTTATTACTAATTAACCCTTGTCACACTTATGCTTTTGTGTATTGCTAAGCCCTTTGTATCTTTGCATCTGATTACATTGACCACTATTTTCCTTTGAGGTTAGCTTGAGAGAAATGCTTCTAAATTATGCAACCTGAAGAGTATGATAGGACAGTAATCAGTTAGTGGTTAATAATTAAAGCGTTTCAGTAATTAGAGTCAGTCAAAAATAGTTACATCATCTTTTCTAACTTCTTTCAGATTGCCATGGTTGTTGAAGATTGATAAATTAGTTTTCTTCAATTAATATAAATGAGTTTACTAGAACAAAAATTATGGTCAACGGTTGGGAATTAATTGCAACCAAAATGATAAGAAAAGTTTGCATATAACAAAATGAAGTTAATAGTTTAAATCATTTTGAGATTGTGAAAATAATGGGTTACAAAACACACCCTTATCTTTAAAGGGGAGGGGACGCTTTGGTCGTGGTCATTTAAGTTCTATCTAGAGTCAGAAATGAAACTTAAAATCACAGAATTTGCAACCTAAAAAGTGTCTTCTGGTCCAGTCTCCTCAATTTTTTTTTTAGGTAAAGGAACTGAAGCCCCCCAAATTATGGGTGATGTATTTATTGAAGGTCACACAGCTACTGGGGACAGAATTAAGACCCCACAGGACATCTCCCTCCAGACCCACATCTTTTTTTTTTTTTAAATGAAATTGGATGGCCTTCTTGATTATAGTTTTTTTAAATGTCTCAAATCGGATTAATTCAGGAGAGTGATTCTAATTTAGGCCTTTAAGGAAGATACCATTTAATCATTTCATATTCTGACTTCCTTTAGAGGCAACTTGTTCTTTTTTCCCAGTTGTGATTCATAGTTTAGTTGACCTTTTATTTAACCATAGTTGGTGCAAACAAGGGCTAGGACTGGGACAAAAAAAAATAGTATATGTAACCTGGCCTAAAAGCTTATTGATGTGGTGGTGTTCTTGTTGTTCTTTAATGCAAAGAAAAAGTAAAGGGAAAAAAAAAGATATTATAGAGGACAGTTATCATTTCAGAATATTTGTGGATTAAATATTTATTGTTAGTTCTTGTGCTTCAAGAAATGTGAACAAATGGCTTTTTTTTGGTTAACTGCTTTTTTAATTTAGTTGTTTTGGTGGTGGACTTTTTATTTTTATTTTTAAATTTTGGGTTCCCATTTTTGTGTCATTAACCTTACATAAGCTCCTCATTGCATGTTGTATTAACCCTTGGTATATTCATTTTCTTCTGACTTGAAAAGAGTAATCCATTAGAATTTAACCATGATGGCTTGAAGAAGGCTGCAGTTCAGAAAGCTTTAAAGGTAAACTAATACAGTTTTCCATTAAGGTCACAAAGTTAACTGAAACATGTTGAAAGAAATGAACCTTTAGTTTTCATATAGACCTATTCAGAAATTATCTAATATCTTATTATTGTAGTTGGCATAATTAAAAATACCACACTCTTTACTTCCAAGGGTTTGTGGTCAGGAGCATTTAAATCAACTTTGCAGGTAAATATAAACATTTGCACAGAATCACAGATTCTTCTAGTTGATTAGACATTACCTAGTTCAGCAGCTACCTGGACAGGAATCCCTCCTCCATCTTCAAAGTCTGTTTTAGCTCTAAATCTCTCTTCCTGTCATCTCTGACAAGAGCCCATTCAGCTTCCACTTTGAGGGCCCTTGTGAAGGAGTAGCACTACCTAGGCCACTTTGGGATAGTCCTGATGGTGAGGAATTTTATCTGCCTCTCTGCAGCTTTCATCTATCATTCTTTAGCTAAGCAGAACAAGGTCAATCCCTGTTTATATGACAGCCCTTTAGATGTAATTTAATATCCTTTATACTATAGTGAGCATCAGATAAAAACTGTTTTAAGTCATACCTCTGTCTTAATTGGTTTACATTTCTCAAAATGATTAGATTCTATTTAAATCTCCCCAAATTGAGAGTATGATTTAGTCATTTTATCGACCAACTTTATATGAACACTGAAAGATCAATTCTTCCAGCATGTTGAGTTAATAAACTAATAAAGTCCATCTTTGAATTACTAGTCATGTCTTTTGGTACTGTTTCATGATAACTTTTCTTGGGAAGCTTTAAATCTCCATTCAATGAGGTATATTGAAAACTGAGCTCCACTCCCTAAAAGGTGAAGTTTTGAAATTCTGTTTGGTAGAAGTATCTTTGCTCTTGATGTTGATGATCAATTTTGTTATTTTCCACTAGTTAAAAAACAAAAGAAAACTATTTTTGTCATGAATGTTTAGAAGATGTTAAATGTTTACATGTAGATGCTGAAAAAATTAGTCTGTTCCCATCCTGCATCCTCCCCTCCTCTCCTCCCCCCAAGAAAATTCTGCCACCAAAGCTATACATTCAGTAAGTGTTAATTTATACTATCGCATCTACAGAAATCATTTTAAATTTGAATAGTGTGGGAGAATCAGAAATCTGCTTCACATAGTACATAAATAGCTCTTGTTTTAGCAGTGGATTAACTGTTGACTGTTTAGCTAGTGACCTGGAAGAAGTAATAACTCTCACTGGAGTTGAAGTGGATAAAAAGACAATGCCATCACTGAATATCAGACTTCTGTATTCTGTTGTAGAATAGTGACCTTGCTCTTACAATATCAACTTAGTCTTTACTGGTAAGCTGCCTATATTTTTAGAGGTGAATTACTTCTATGGCTCATGGTTTATTTAAGAAGCAGTTTTCCTCAAATACATCACTGTAGATGTAAACTGAAATTTCCCCCTAAACCAAATACTCTTGATGTCCTTTGTTTTCATAGTTAACACAATTAGCTAGATTCTCTGAGATTAGTTCTGTAACAGTGCGACTAGAATGAACTCTTTGCGACCTTATGTGCTACAATTAGTTTCCACTAACAGTCGTTTAATTCATGTTTAACTATGTTAGTCTCTTGTGGGGCTGAGTTCTAAATAAACCTCATTACTGTGAATTTTGTATTTTTGTTGTATTTTCTTGTCAGCTGCTTGTGCTAAAAATTTCACTTCTCACTATATTTTCTTATTTCTGAAGTTACTGTAGATTTGCATTTATGTTTTTCAAATATAAGTGATTTGAAAGTGGCATTTATTCTTCCTCTTAGACTGCTAAACAGCTGGTAAGCATGATTCAGTATTTAGATACACTTAGCAAAATGTAGGAATGTGTATATGATACCTTGGAATTTTTCTTCTATTCCTACCAAAGGAACATTTTGGTTACTGTAGTATATTATTACGAACTTAAAAATTAAGGTTTTTGGAGGACATATTTCTTTTAGGTTGTGTTTATTTCATGTATTTTTTTTCCATTTTCATCCATTCTGCTTTATTCATTTTGTCACCTTAACCACGCTAGCTTTAAAAATGATAATACACATTAAAGAATGAACAAGGCTACATTTAAAGAAAAAAACAAATTACTTTTTAAAAGGAAAACAAATTATTCTAAATTGCAAGTGAACAGCCATTTTGTTCTTAATTCAGTTACATGATAGATATAATTATGGCTTTGAACTTTGTTTAGGAATTGTCCTCTGGCTAACTTGTTCTTGTGTGATGTCCATAATGTAAGCATTAGGAAGTAATAGAAATGTACAAGAACCAGTGAGAAAGAGAAAGAATTTGTAAGTGAAAGATTAGCGTTTTTAATAAGAATAAGAGATGACAATCCCAGTTAACCTGTTTTAAAGATTTTAAATGTTTATTTTTTCTTGTTGTTATTAGTCTGGGAAGAAAATAAACAGCAACCCTAACCCACTGGTCCAAATATCAGTTGGACACACGGCCCAGGAGAGCAAGGTAAGATAATAATATTTTCATTTAACTTAACTTCATTTAGCCTTCAGTAAGCCTTTATTATATGCCTGTTCTGTGATAGGCACTGGGAATACTTATCCCTCAAAATGATGAAATTCTGATGGAAAGGGTACACCCTGTACACAGATAAGTAGAGAGAAGATGGGATAGGATTGCTCTGGTTATTTATTCAGTGTGGGGAGCTTCTCATTGGGAAGAGCTCCCTCCACCAAGGAACACTTGAACTTTCCTGCAGCTAAGAGTCCTAGAGAGTTAACCAGGGCCACTGAGTTAAGAGATCTGCTTAAGGTCACACAGCCAGTATGTATCAAAGGTGGAATTTTAATCCAGATCTTCCTGACTCTGAGGCTGGATGTTTATCTACTGTGCTGTGCTTCCTTGTATCTAAAAATGAATTCATACAAAATTAATATAAAGTAATGGGGGTGGGGTTAGCAACTGGGGGAATCAGGAAAGGTTTCTGGTAGGAGATAGCACTTGATCTGACCATGAAGGGAGGTGGGTTCCACAAAGTCCAGCTGAAGAAGGCGCACATTTCAGGTGCAGGGGACAGCTTGTGAAAAGGCTGTTGTGTAAGGGAACAAGAAGTATGCTAATTTGGCTGTGATAAGTGATATGGTAGGGGAATAGTAATGAGGCTATAGAATCTGCCCTGGAAAACAGACTGGAGTCACACTGCAGAGGGTTTTAAATGCCAGGATGAAGAGTTTGTAGTTTATCTGAGGACTATTTGAGAGTTTTTCCCTAAATATTGTTAGCATTAGGGATAAATTGTCATAAGTAGGTAGTCTTAAAGTGGCAAGACAATGTGGAAGTTACACTGTTGTTTATTTAATACAGTGGAAAACATGGTGCTTTTTTACCCATCGTAATCACAAATTAATATGTAAACTCCTACGTGTACAAGGCATTGTGCTAAAAAAAAGAATCAATTTAGCATTAAAATATATTTGTATGTTAGTATGTTTTTTTAAGACAGACATTTCTGATATTCATCATTTATAATTGTATTTAAAGGGGATATTTATTGTTTCTGACTAATAAAGTCATAATAACAATTTTCAAATCATGTTGACTGATCTTTCTTATTGTATAGAATTCATCAATTCAGTAATTTATATTGATCTCCTTTATGTAGTGAGTGCTTTACAATCAGCAGAAGAAGATCTAAGTGTAGATAACTGATGTCAAACAAAATAATCATAACTCTTATAGAAGTCACTTAAGAACCTTTGGAAAGGACACTGGCATTTGCAATTAAAGAAATGATTTCCATGATGTTTTGAATCAGTTCGGGCTTCCTTTCTTTCTCATCATCTCAATTTCGGTTCTAGAAGGTTAAAAATTTATCATTTTATTTTCATCAAGTTCAGTAACTGAAAAATCATTTTTAAATATTGCATAACTGATATATAGCTATTCTTTTCAGATTCGATATAAGACCAACGAACCTGTTTGGGAAGAAAATTTCACCTTCTTCATTCACAATCCCAAGCGTCAGGACCTTGAAGTTGAGGTATTTTGTTTACTTCTCCTCCCTTCTGCCCCTGCACTACTTTTGAATTGTGGAATCCTAAGACCCAATGAGAAAGCGGGAAGGGGGTTAGGGATAAGTAGGGAATTCGCTCTTGGCTCTTGAAATTTGTCTGCTGACCTCTGTCTCCCAATCATGTACTTAAAGAAAAGTAGTTTTTTTTTTCTTTTCTTGAAATTAATTCTTTTCACACATTCCAAACCTGTTGCCTTACATTTTACTAGAAAATGTTTGTTTTCTAATTCCTGTCATCTTTTCTCTTCACTCCATTTCCTGCTCACTTATGGGTATGTCCTAAGAGAATAGAGAATAGGTAGTCACCTTTCTGGATGCAGTGATGCCTAAAATGTCTGAATACCTTCCTGCAACATCTTTCAGTCAGGCTCCTTTATAAACTCTTCTTTAATGGTTTATTTACCTACCTTTTATGCTTTTAAGATTTTGAGTTCTCCACTTTCTTTTTAAGCAGTGTAGCCCTGAATTCCATACATTAATTCCCGTATGGGTACAAAATACGTTAGTCACTTTTGAAAGATCTATGTTGTGATTTGTGATGATGTCATCACAAATTATTGCTGGGTGTGGTGACACATTTGTAATTCCCACTGCTGGGGAAGCTAAGGCTGGTGGATTGCTTGTGAGGTTGTCCACAAGTATCAGTATGATAAATCTCTGACAATGGAGGGCCACAATGCTGCCTAGAGACTGGTGAGCCAGGCCATGTCAGAATTGGAGTAAGTCAAAGCTCCTATGCTGATGGGCAGTGGAATTATACCCAGGAAAGACCAGTGCAGTTATAACAGGGGGAAAATTGTTGTTTCATCTATAAAAATTGTAATGCTGTAGATATAAACTCCATGAATTGTAAAACTGAAAGGTTTTCCCACTACAAGTGTATGTTTATTGTATTCTTCTTTCATTTTATTCACATGCTAATACTGATGTTTGAATGCTACATGTTTTCAAAGGGTTTAGAAGAGTCTCTTTTCTGACCTCTAATAGATTTGGATAGTCTGTCATCTCTGAGTACAGGAGTCTCTTGGTGCCATAATAGAGTGTATGGTCTGTAGTCCAGACAGAATGTACTTGTAGGACATATTAGTTCCCTGAAAATAACAGCTGTTGATTTATGTCTTAGTAAAAACCTTCTACAGTGTGCTAATCAGTTATGGAAGTATATGCCTAAATAAAATAAGTTTCGTCAAAACCGCCGTTTTCTTCATTTACCAATAGTATTTCCCCCACCCCCCACATCCCCAGTAGATCTGAAAAATATATCCTGCTTTTTTATTTCCTGTAGGTCAAGGATGAACAGCATCAGTGTTCCTTGGGGAACCTGAAGATTCCTCTCAGCCAGCTGTTGGCAAGTGATGACTTGACAATGAATCAACGGTTCCAGCTCAGTAATTCTGGTCCAAACAGCACTATAAAAATGAAGATTGCCCTCAGGGTATTTATGTCTTTGGAAATCACTATAGTAATGGAATAGGAACTTTAAAGAATTGCTGTATGGATATTCTTTGGATTTTTCCATCCAAATACATTAGGCCAATTTGCATTTTAAAAATATGTTGTAGATTAGTTAAACAACTTGGATGAATATGCTGTCATGGTTTGTATTTACACATTAGGTGATAATTGAACATCAGTCAACATTTATTCAGCACCTCCTATATTTTAGGAACTGTCCTAGGTGCTAGGGCTACAAAGACAAAAATGAAATAATCCCTGTTCTCAAGTTGCTTATACTCTATCAAAAGAGAAAACATATGTGTGTGTATATGTGGATAGTGTTATGTGCACAGTTTATTATATATTCATAATAAAAAAAAATAAATCCAAGGTAATTAAATACAGGGTATGAGACAGGCCACTAGCAAATGGAGGAATTGGGAAAAGTATCTTGTAAAAGGTGATCCTTGAGCTCTGACTTGAAGAAAGCCAAGTATTCTTTGAGGCAGAGGTGAGAGAAGAGATATTCCAGAGAAGAAATTACAGCCATTGGGGATGGTCAGTACAAAAAAGGCAGTGAGATGAGATATGGAGTGCCATGTGTAAGGAACAAGGAAAAGTCTGTTTGGGCTGAACTTTAGAGTTGGGGTGGGAGGGCACCATGTAATGAGCCTAGAAAGGTAGGCTGGGGGCAGGTTGTTTAAAAACCAAACTGGAGTTTATATTTGATCCTCGAGCCAATAAGCTGAAATTTATTGAGCAAGGAAGTAACATGCTCAGATCTGTGCTATAGGAAAACACATTGGTAACTGTAGAGTATGGAGTTGTAAGGAAACTTGTGGCAAGAGGCCACTGAGTTCTCCCAGGGAGAGATGATGAAAGGCTTGAAATACAGTGATAGCTGTGTGAGGAGAAAGAGGTAGAAATGGCAAGGTTTAGCAACTGATTGGCTTTGTGGGGTGAGGAATCTGGGTAACACCGAGGCAGTAAGCATGAGAGATGGGAAAAATGATGTGCTCTCATAAGCAGCCAGGAAGATGGAGGAAATGCAATGAACTCTATTCTGGACATGTGGAGTTTTGAGAAATATTTCATATACAATGTATATACATTTTATATGTGTGTATAGCTATTACATACATACATATACCCTACTAGGAGCTTTTATTCAAATAGAGGATATTAGATTAATTTTCAAACGAAAAGAATCTTTGATGGTACAGTGCTTGAAAATTCATTGAAGTAGAGCCACAAATGAAGAGTTATTCTAGAGGATAATTTTGGAGAGGTGTAATGAAAGAAGTTTTATTAGCAAGATGCAGACACCTGGGGGCTGGTATATGTTGTGTGTTGGATAGAAAGTCATGTTAATGTTGCATGTTTAGACGGAAGGAGCCAGGTTGAATTAGTTCTTTGTCTGCCACTTAGCTAGAGAAGAATTTCAGATGGAGATTTTTATTGATTGATTGTTAGAAGCAAGGAAGAAAAAAGGCATATTGAACATGAATTGTTATCTAGAAGGATGTGGAAGTGATGGAATCAAAGAAAGGAAGTTGCTCCAGAAAAAAAGAAAAAAATATGTCAGAGAAAGGAGAAACTTTGGGGACAACTTGAAAAAAAGCTTTGAAAGAGAGAATGAGAAACTGGGTTCTGATCCAAAAAAAATAGTAATCCATTAGCATATTATTTTTTGTTTTAAATGAGGGAAAAGAAAATGGAGGAAATTATGTGGTTAAAATAATGAAGAGAATTTTACTATCTAAATTAATGATACAGTAGCAGATTTTGAAGGTAGGTAGTATAGTGAAAAGAAAATTGCAAGGGGTCCAGATGAATGATAACAAAGGGCATAGAATTAAGCTGTAACTCTGGCTGTGGAAAGCATAGAGTAGTAGATTCAGGATAAATTATTAAAAGGGGAAAAAAAGGCAGTATTTGGCAATAGATTGGATGCATAGACCAAAACTTACTAAATACTCACATTTGAATTTGCATCAACCCCTTGGCTTGACAATTATAGATGTCTGTAACAGTGCTTCTGAGTCCTCCTCTTCCCTTAAGACAAAGATTTAATTTAAAGAGGTCAGTGAAGAGGGAGTATTTTAATTAAGCTATAAAAGACTATAGGAATTAGAAAATTATCCTATTAGAACAAATATATGTGGATCTATAAGAAGTAAGTGAGCAGAGAAATGTTATAAAGTGTAGTGAAACTTAGTAAAATTCAGATAGTAGAGGCAGGTAGGTGGTGTAGTGGATAGATCACAGAACTTGGAATCAGAAGACCTGGGTTCATATGTGATCTCACGAACTTAATAGGTCTGTGACCTTGGGAAAGTTACTTAACCAGAGCATATTCCTACTGCAAAAGGAGTCAAGATCTAAATCTAATCTTTTTAAAAAAAAATTAAAGGCTATATTTGTAAATAGATGGTTAGAAATGTGGCTCCTTTCTCCTTTTAACTTACCTATTTCTTTTGAGGTCACCAGTCCTACTAGTCATACACGTTTAAGCCTTCATAGTCACCTATCATTTTTCACTCTCCTTCTATCCCCACGTCTAGTGAGTTTGTAAATCTTACTGATTATACCTTCGCAGTCTCTCTTCAGGTCTGTCCTCAGGTCTCCACTGATACAGTTACTGCCCTTGTTGATGCCTCCATCACCTCATATAGACAATTGCAACAGCTTCATAATTTGGCAGTCTCCCTGCTTCCATTCTCCCCCATCTTCCAATCAGTCATATATACATCTGCCCAAGTAATCTTCCTAAAGCACATTTCTGACCATGCCACTTCCCATTCAGGAATCCTCAGTGTCTGTTGCCTCTAGGATGAAATACAGAGTTTTCTATTTGCCATTTAAATCCTCTCACAATGTTTCCTGTCTACCTTTCTAGATTTATTTCATATTACTTTTCCTCATGCATTCTGTGTTCTATCCATTCTTTTTATTCCCTGTGCACATCTTTGTATCTCCCACCTCTCAGCCTTTGCATAAGACTATCCACCATGACTGCAGTACTTCCTACTTACTTCTGCTCTTAAAAACCTTTATTCTTTCAAGAGTTAGGTGCCACCTCCTACCTGTGGCCTTTCCTGATCCCCGTAATGGTTAATGTTTTCCCCTTCCTGAAATAAATTTATGTTTACTTTGTATGTATCTTGTTTCAACTTGTTTTTGCACATGTTGCATTCCCTACATACAATATAAATTCCTTGAGGGCAGGGACTTGTATTTTAGTCTTTGTATCCCCACTGCTAAGCCTGTCACATAATAGGCCTTTCATAAAAGCTTGTTGAATTGAATTATTGGAATGTTTCCACTTTGGACTTTTGCTTTCTATTTCCCTAGGTGCTGTATCTTGAAAAACAAGAAAGGTCTCCAGATCACCAACATTCAGCCCAAGTGAAGAGACCCTCTGTTTCCAAGGAGGGGAGGAAAACATCTGTTAAATCTCACGTCACTGCACCAGCAGTTTCTGATTCCAGCAAAATGGTCTCAGTCCCATCAATACCTGACAGTACGAGAAAGACTGATGTGGATGAAAAAGGTCAACCTCCTAATGCTAGTCCTCAGTGGCCATCTGATCTCAGCCAAAGTTCCTCCAGCCTCCACACCTCCAATGTCACCTCTTCCCCAAGCCACCTTTCCATCAAGGAGCCCACCCCCAGCATAGCATCAGACATTTCACTGCCCATTGCCACACAGGAACTTCGGCAAAGACTTCGACAGCTTGAAAAGTAGAGTCTTCAGTACTTGATTTTTTTTTTTTATTATGCAGCTTTTGAAATTTATGGAGAGAATGTTACAAAATAGACATAGCCAGTTCTCAGTTTGATTGTCTCTTGGATGGAAAAGTTGACCGACGGTGGTTTTAAGGGAACAGCGTAAAATATTAGATGATATGAACTGCTTATGGTTTTTGAGTAGCAGTGAAATTAACGTTAACATTTTGTAAGAATCAAGTAATTAGCTTATTAAAATATGGAAAAGAATAGAACAGGTTTCAGGAATGGGAAAGAAGAGGCAGAAGTAGAGGGCTAGTAAAAGCTAGTAAGGGCCAATAAAAGTGCCATGGTAGCCAACCACAAGTCAGGAAGAAATCTGAAAAGCTGAAATGACAAATTCATATTATGGAGATGTGAAAAGATTTGTTGTGTAGTCCTTTTTCTTCCTTAAATATTCAAATCCCCATTTACTTTTATTTCAGTTACAATATCTAACTTGTTTAAAAGATATGATTAGTGAGTTATTGATATTTTTCATTAGATAAGCATGAAAAATAATCTATAGCTACCATAAGCTTAAGGTGTCTGACCATTTCTTCTCAGTGGAGGGAATTAAAGTTGACCTTTGAAAGTTCTCTTCATAGCATTATAAATAAGCCTGTTTAACATCAGAATTGCAAGAAAAAAGGGAGAAGCAGGGAATACTTTCATATTAAATGGTAACAGAATCATCTTAGTGTGTTTGTTAAAAAAGAGTCCTGGCTCTAAAAACTCTTTTTAGGTACCTGTTTCTTCTCAGCCTGTAAAGTCCTTCCTTTGTTTCAGTTTGTACTATGAGCTGATTTAATTAGATATCTCAGCAGCTAATCATAGAGTCTGTCTTACTCATCCTTGTCATTTCTCCTCTTCTTGATACCTCCTCCATGATAATTTCTTTACCTAATGTACTTCATTTCAGAATGTTTAAGTGGTAACCAGTTTATGTCTTTAAAATGTTATTGTATAAACAACATTGTCTTACTTTGAAGTTTACTTCTAAGTGAAAAAAAGAAACCTGACAAATTTTGAGCAGTAGAGGGGAGTGAATATACAATAGTCAATCATGCCCTCAAAACTTGCCTCATACTTTCTTTGTACAAATTTCCCTATTATGTTTGTAGTTAGTTTCTTAATAACTCTAATGACAGAGTTCTTAATAGCCATATGACACCTTTTTACCAAATGGGAATGATTGTGTTATTGTAGCTTTAGTATTTGGGGTTTTATGTGAAATGTTAATTGGGAATAACTAATTTCCCTGCTCTTTTTTTCTCTCGTAGTGGAACAACATTGGGGCAGTCTCCCCTGGGGCAGATTCAGTTGACAATACGTCACAGTTCACAAAGAAATAAACTTATTGTGGTTGTGCATTCCTGTAGGTGAGCATTATATATCCTGGTCCATGTCTATAAGGCTTTTTTTAAAATAACTTAAACATGTTACAGTATCATTTAAGTTTTATTTCTAAGTGGACAGTTTAAATACATACATTAGATAATGCATTATTGTATTTGAATAGGTTAATCCTAATTTGATTTTCTTATCAGAATCATTCAAACTAGTACGTAGGAAATTCTGTGTTTTACTGGAACAATATAACATCACTATTAGTATTAATTTTCCATATATTTCAAGGTACTGGTATATAAAATCTACTTCAAAAAGCATTTGTAAAATACCTTGTTCTCATTAAATATATTTGCTAGAGATAAGATTGTTGGGCAAATACTCTGATTTTTTTTTTTTGGTGGAAGGATGGCTTTTCCCAATAGTTTATTTAGTATTGCCTATATTCACTTTCATGAAAGAAACAGGGCAAGGATAAAGGAGAGAAATCGTTTCATTAATATGAAGTTGTAAATTGTCCAGGCATAGGAAATTATATAGAAGAAGAAATATTGATATTGGAAAGTGACAGAAAGAAATGTGGAAAACTTTTGTCTAGTGATGTAAAAGAGAGCATAGGGAGGGCAAAGGAGAATATATATATCTGTAGATATATATCAGGCAGAGAAGTCTTAAAACTAGAAGCCATTTGAATTTGATAAATAAGTATTAAGAAGTCAAATTAAAGAAATAATAATATTGGCTCTATAACGTAAGACTTGAGAAACTTGAGGAATTAATGAAATTCAGACTTAAAAAAAGATTTTTGCTAAATGCATCAGTTTGAATCAACAAGTTATTTATTGATATACATAGATAGTATGTGCTTGGAAATGTGCCACATAGCTTTTACAGGATCTAGATAATAACTTTTGTTTCTGAGGAGCTTATGTAATCTTAAAGTCTAATATGTAGTGTCTTTTTGTTTTGTGTTACAGAAATCTTATTGCCTTTTCTGAGGATGGCTCTGATCCGTATGTTCGAATGTATTTACTTCCAGACAAGAGAAGATCAGGAAGAAGAAAAACACATGTATCAAAGAAAACATTAAATCCAGTCTTTGATCAAAGGTATGTTCTCATTGTCTTACTAGTACTAATAATAACAACCTGCATTTACAAAGCATCTTTCTCAAATATCCCTATAAGGTTGTAGAAGTTGTATCCCTGTTTTTAAAGCTGGAGAGACGTTAATGGTTTCCTCTGGTGATTTATGCAAGGTCACACATTGAATGTTGGAGGAAGGATGCAAACCCATGTCTAAAGACTTACCGAACCAGTTCTTAGTGCTGGCTTGTATGTTATTTTTGGTGTTACATTTGTGCAGGGAGACTGAAAACTCTGGTGGATGGTAGATTGCATGAGGTATAGTCTAGATTACCAGACTAAAAAGCTGAAGACTTGGCTTCTTGTCCAACTGTACTACTAGCTAGTGGTGTGACCTTGACTTAATCTCTCTGGATCTCTATTTTCTCATTCATATGAAGAGAGATTGGTTATATGGTACTTAAAATACTATCCTATTGGTTTACATTCTTTCTTACCCCACTGTCTCTCCTCATCTTATATAAAAACTAGATTGTGATTTATAGTTAAGGTTGTTTTTCTATATTTACACACACACACACATGTACACACACGTATGTACGTATATATACATATATATTCATTTTATAGATATTCATTTTATTGTTGGACTTCTGATTAATATAAACATAACATACTAACACCACAGTAAGCAATTATTTTGAGGGGAAATACTATGAATAATCATTTCAAGTCATAATCAGTATCATTTGACAGAGAGGTCACTTATTAAAAATTCGATTAATTCTAATTTTTTTTTTACTGTTATGATATAACTACTTTTATAACAAGTATTACCTACACCCACACACTCCTATTTGGTATCTTATTCTAAACTCCCCTGTTAAGTGAAAATATATATACTGAAGATAGACATTAGGGGAAAGAATAACAGTTAAAATGCAGTTATTTGTATAGTTCTATTTTTCTTCAAAAATCTTAAATGATGTCAACTTTTGTTAATTTCCATGTATAATTTAGCCATCTGATTCATATTCCTTTTAAATTGTCTTTTAAGGAAAAGTTAAAAAGAAACTTAGATGCTAATCGTTTTTCATTTTGCAGATGCCAGTGGCTTTGTTTATGTCCATCACTACAGTGTGTTTTGGAGACAGTGTCCCTCTTGTGAAGTCTGTTTCACTTCTTCTATAGCATAAAATTACTTCTGAGCATGGCAAGACTAGGATTTTAAAAGACTAACATCATTTAGAGAGAAATTTTAAAAGTGGCCTTGAATTTAGTGGTACATTGCATGTCACTTTTTCCAGAATGACAGCCACTTGCCCTTAACAGAATTGTATGCTGCTGTTGTATTACTCATGAAGCCATGAGCAGAATTTTGGTCTTATTTACAATGCCATGGCAACCCCTCATTTGTGTCTGCCAGTTGAAACTAGGCTTGTAAGTTTCTATTTATGGACAGTGAAATAAAAATGCCTAGTAGTTAAGTTTTGTGGTTTAAAAAAAATAGAGCTAAAATTTGGAAAGCTGTTTCAAGTTGAAATGTCAATATTTAAGGTGTTTTTTTTTTATGGTAAAATTAGGAAGATGCAAGTAACATCTTTATCCCTGTTAGCTTTGATTTTAGTGTTTCATTACCAGAAGTGCAAAGGAGAACCCTGGATGTAGCTGTCAAGAACAGTGGTGGCTTCTTGTCCAAAGACAAAGGGCTTCTGGGTAAAGTAAGTTTTTGCAGGAAATCAACATTGTCAAGTGTTTCTTCTTTCTAAAAACTAAACTCATCAAAAAGATCATTTAAAGGCTTGATGATGGTCTATATGGCATAACAAAGTTCTGATACTTGGTCAGTTCTCTATGAGAAAGAAAGGACTGGACTGTACAACACCATTCTACAACCACCAGAGTACCCGATACATACTGAGGATATGCAGCAATGCATCTTATTCCCTTTCTTCATATTCCTGCTACTGGCTGGGTTGTCTCATTGATGCTGTAAACTTTAAGAACTAGCAGGAGTGAAATTCATTTTCTTTTTTTAGATATGAAACATAGCCATTTACTTGATAAAAAGGCACAAGAATTAGAATTAATATCATACCTACTCATTTGAAGGTTAATGTATAAATAACAATTACATATAATCTTGGATCACACTCTCCCCACAGATGCACTTAGTGAAGGGTGGGCGCAGACATTCAGGAACCTTCCAGGAAAGTGTTATGAGGCTGAAAAATTTGTGCTCAGGATTGAATTTCATTTTTTATAGTAATTGAGATAAAGGATGAATTTAGGAGAAGGTTGAAATTGACAGAGAAGTAAGGTTTTAAATTATACATCTCATTGATGATAGATATTAGGTTATTTAAAGATAAGATAAAAAGATAGTTTTAAATTGCACTAAGACTTTTGGGACACCTTGTATAAGCTTATGGACAATGTATCATGAATGGCAATACTCAATTCTGGATTATCTTCACAAATTATAAATGTTTGAAGCCTTAAGTACCTTTAAATGACACTAAGACTTTTGAGAATGGGCCTCCCTACTTAAAATAATGATGACTGATTTATCCTTTGAACTATCCTTTTTCTTTCAGTTGTTGGTATCTCTGGCCTCTGAGGATCTTGCCAAAGGCTGGACTCAGTGGTAAGTGGGATTTGGTATTAGTACATGTTTGTTGATTTGGTACAGTTAACAAAATTAACCCTAAATGTATTTCAATAAATCTTTGTGCATTTTCTCAGGTATGACTTGACAGAAGATGGTACAAGACCACAGGCTGTAAATTAGATCTTCTTTCGACATGAAGAATTTCTCCTTGCATATTGTACTTAGCCAATCTTTATACACTTTGAATGCATCATTTTCACAGATGTTTCAATATTATTTTTATAGTTTTATGTATTTAGTTATTACACACCCCAAAGGTTTTATAAATTTTAACACATTGACATTTTTTGCAGATTTAGCCAGTTTTATTGTTAAATTTCATATTTTAATTTACTCTAATGTTTTGCCTATTATTATAATGTGCAATAGAGTGGTAGAGTGACTTGTTGTTAAATGGAAACATTTGTCATTTGTGTCGTTTAGAAAATGAATATATGATATGCTTTATTACTGCCTTGTTTTGTATATCACCAAGGCACACTATGCCATGTAAATAGACTTATTTTTTATAATCTCTTCATGCTGGTTTGAAGTCAGATGAAAATGGATCAAGGGAATATATATATATTTTCTTCAAGTTCATATTAAATTCTTGTGACAAATAATCCTTTTATTTGACCTTTACAGCAAAATGGTCTCAGTGACTTATTTTGTGGGGTTTCTTTTTAAAAAAGAAAAAAAACTGAAAAGACTATTAAAATTACTGTTTTTCTTGTCCATTGTGGCTTAATGAAAGTGTACAAAATATTAACATTTTTACATTAAGTTCTATTATTGAAAAGTCATGATAATGACTCCTAAGAAAAGTGTTTTTAGTACTAAGAAATATAAAAGTATTATATTTGAAGAGACAGTTGTCATGCTCCACAAATCATAGAGTACAGAAAATTATAGAGTGCAGATCTGGACTTTCTTACATAGAAATGAAGACATTTGAATTTATTTTTAATTGCCTGTTTATTGTAACTTATTCATGTAATCTAAAACTTAGGTATATATCATCTCTTTCCTAAAAGATGAGTAAAGCAGTTTTCCATATTAGAAATTAAGATGTCAAAAATAAATACTCATAAATCATATTAATTTTCATTGTTTTAACAGCCTATTAAAAAGAGATTTATAAACTTAGCAATGAAAAGCTGAGAATATATATTGTAAAATGCTGAATTCAAAGCTGATCTTTCTCTTGACCCCACTTCAGTGAAGTGAAAAACGTGCTTTTAATGATAGTTTGTCCTGAGTTTATAACATGTATCAGACATTATCACCATTAAACTGAGACATTATTACATTCTGCTGCTATGTAGAGGTTACTGGAATGACCAAAGGGGATTTAACATAGCTGCAGGGTTGTGACAAACAGCAGCTATTGGCTATAACCCAAAATTTTATTGCTTTCGTTAGTTTGGGTTATGAACATTGTTGCATACAAAATTTAGAATCCTCTTTTAAAGACTTTGAAAGCATATTTCACACACAGGAGCCTGCTTAGGTGTGGAGGAATATGCTATATACTTCATATATAAAAAGTATGCACTTAGTTTAAAAATAAAAATTTTTTTAGTCAAGTGACACAAATGACTTCGTTACCTATGAGAATAAGTTAAGGTTAAGTAATAAATTCTTTTAAAAACAGCTTTATAATGAACTCAGCTCAAGTTTCATCAAACTCAACAACTTATGACAGCTCACATGACCAAACATACCAAAGTGCCTGTTGTGGATATTAGATTCCAGAACCTTCTAATTTAACGTCACTTTTAGTTGAAAATACTTTGATTCCTGAGGTCTACTTATAGTGGGAGTAAGTATCTTCACTACTCATTTTCACTCTGGTAAAAATGATAGTGCCACAGTGAAGTGAAATAATTGTGTTATCCTTAAATGAAATTTCACTGGAAGACCTCATCATTAACAGGCTCCAATGTGGATATGTGTCGTGTTGGTGACCATTCCAAAAGAAAGTGTGTTTATATATTCCGTATATATACATATATGTATATATGTGTGTGTATATATAATATATATCTCACATAGCACGAGAAAGATCTATATATTAACCTGTTAAAATCTAGTTGTCTATCCATGATTTACTGAACACCACCTTTTTACAGTGAGTTCTGTTGCTGGGCCTCTGGCACAGGGAGGTAGGGAGGAAAATGCAATGCTTATTACATCACAGTTATCTGGATTAAAGTTCTGGAACAATGGAATTTTACATATAGTTATTTGCTTCTTTACCTAAAAAAAATATGTAGTTTTTCTTTTTGGGACGAAGTGCTTCATTAGATTATTTAGGACAGTATAAAAGCAACTAGAGGGGGAGAAAAATATCGAGAGAGAGAAACAAAAGACAGAGGTGTAAAGCAGTTTGGCAGTGTTATATTTAGTAGCCTAGCCTGAGAGCCCAATTTTGTGAGGCACAGTTCCTATTTCTGTTAATTAAGTACCCTAGGGTTGCTGTCACCAAGGAGTTTGACTCCAGAATGGTTCGAGGGTTGACCCTTTATCTGTAGAGTATGAGAATTCCAGTACCTGTCCTTAGTTGTTTAAAAGAAAAGATGACAGCTTAAGGTGGATGTTATAGCAAAAAAAACAGTGGTAAGATTAGGAACAAAAGGGGGATGATCTAGTATGAAATACTTGAAAGATTAGGTTATGGGATGATCATGAAGACTAGATTGTTAGAATTATATTCTTAATAGTGGAAAAATTCAGTTTGTATTAATTTTTAATTTTTGATACATGTGTTAAGTGAGTAGAGGACTTAACACTTTTCATTTTGACAGGAAAAAAAAATCTACTTAAATGAGTTTCAAACAGCAATTCTGGTTAGTTTGTACATGTGGATTGTATATCCTGTGCCTTAAAGTATAAAGTGCAAAAGTATTGTTGTTTTCAATGTTTCAAAAAAATTAAAGGAAAAAAATTTTTTTTGTTGTACATATCACCATTTATATTTTATGCTATGAAAATTTCTACAAAAATTCTCTTGCTTTGGTGAGAAGGGCTTTAAAAAATAAATTTTTAAAAAAATCAGTGAAAGTGTATTCCCAATGTGATTCAGTGTGGGTAGCACTTGTAATTTGGACTAAAGTTGTTCTTTTTGTCACAATTCCTTCTATTTCAGAGTTGCAGGAATCTGTAAAATTAGAAATCAGTGAAGAGTCTTTTTTTTTTTTTATAGGTTATCCTTTTTTGCTTAAGTAATTTACATGACAGTGCATGTATTTATTCAATAAATGATTCATATGGTGGATGGTTTATGACTTTTCTTTTCTCTAATCTTTGTTCTAAAATAAAACTTTAGGATTAGTCCAAATGATCCAAAGGATGGTTATTTTATTTACTTATTTATTTATTTTAGGCAATTGGGGTTAAGTGACTTGCCCAGGGTCACACAGCTAGTAGATGTCAAGCATCTGGTCCGAGGCCTGAATTGAACTCAGGTCCTCTTGACTCCAGGGCTGGTGCCCATCCACTGTGCCACCTAGCTGCCCCTCAAAGGATGGTTATTTTATTACACTATGCATTTTCTGTAAATTATTTTGTTTTCACAACTACATGAAAAAAATAATTTGATCTATTCCACCCTTTTTCCTTTCCTGATTTGATTGCCTTCTACCTGGTTTTAAACCAAACATTGTGCAGTTGTATAGGTAACAGGGAAGAATTTCCTTAAATATGACTTAGGACTTTTCATGAGCATACAATAGATTGGATTCCACCCAGCCCGAAGACAAAAGTTCAAATAAAAGATGACATTCAATGCTTGGAGAAAACTAAATGGAAAATTAGACCTTTGGTTGTTTTAATGAGAACATAGCTAGTGATGGGCTTAAGGAGTTCAATTCACTTAAATTGTTTGAAAACTACTGCATAGTGCATCCACTAGGAAGACCTGAGATCCAGTTTAGGCAGTTGTCTTTTTAACTCTTGCTTTGAAGCTGAGGAGATAGACAGATGGTCCGATCCTTTACATTGGTGTGACCAGGTAAGTGAACCTAAATACCATGCCCAACAGCTAAGAAAGCACTATGAAATAATTCATCTTTTCTCATTACCTAACATCACTTAACAGCTCCAGAACCATCTACTTTCCATATTTGTTCCTATAGACAAATAGAAATAAAAGTCTAGCATACTTGAAATAGTATTACAATTCTACTCAAAAATGTCTTTGCCCCTTCCTGCCCTCAAAGGAGGAGGAGTTGAATAAGAGTAGTTATCAAGAAGAAATATAATTTGGCTATTTTTAGCCATTCCAGTTATTGCTAAATAACTAGCTGGAGTTCAGGGTTTCTAATTGCAGGATTGAATCATTAAATGAGAATCATCTATAAAAATTTCACATAAATGCTAGCCTGCCTCTAAGAAGAAAACTATTTTCTAGTAATATTTAAGCACCTGGAAAATCTGATAAAATTTTCTATTGTTTTCCCCCACCTGAACACCAGTCATAATAGATTCCTATTTTTTCTAGATTACTGTAAACATGAAAAGACATAGAATCCTCAAATCACCAATTTGTGGATCATCCACAATATTCTTATTTCTAGGTTTATTGCCTTCCATCCAGCATTTTTCACAAAGAAAATTTATTTTATTATTGGTCTAAGCAAAATGTGATTAGTATTACAAATCTGTAAGAATGAGAATCACTTTCAAAAGACAGTTGCCTTTGGGTTTAGAAGAGGATTGGGATGCAAATCCCATCTTTGATACTATAGCTACTTGATCACAGACAAGTCACTAAACATCTCTGAACTAAGTACCTTTGTTTCTTCATTTTTTCGATGAGGATTGTCCTGTCATCTTTTTTTAGTCCTGTCTGACTCTTCGTGACCCCATTTGGGGTTTTCTTGGCAGAGACACTGGAGTGGTTTGCTATTTCCTTCTCCAGCTCATTTTATAGATGAGGAAACTGAGGTAAACAGGGTTATGTGAATTGCCATGGGTCACTCAGCTAGTAAGTATCTGAGGCCGGACTTTGAACTCATGATGAGTCTTCCTGACTCCAGGCCTGATACTGTATCCACTGAGGGACTTAGCTGCTCTTGAGGATTATTAGGATGTGGTACAAAGGAAAACTGCTTATGTGATATATCTGTCATAGCATCACAGGGACTACACCAAAAGATTTGGTCCAACACCACCTTTAGGCAGGTAAGATAGTATTACTGTTTCTGATGTCCCCAAAGACTTTTAAGTATATGTCCTAATACTACACATGTACTAAACACTAAAGCATCTATCATCTAAGTCCCTAATCTTTTACTGCAAAGGTCTTTCCATCACATCCTCCAACACCAAATTAAAGGAATGAAAAATATTTGCTAATTTCAAGAAATACCGTCTCCCCTCCAGTCCATCTTCCATTCAGCAAGCAAAAGTGATCTTTCTAAAGGACAGGTTTGACCATGTTACAGTACACCCTATCCCACTTCCAAACACTCGTTCAACTGCAATGGCTTCATTAATCACTTCCATACGCTTTTGAGTTTTAAATTTTCTCCCCCCGCTTTCCTGCTTCTCTCCCCAAGACAGCCTTATACGCTGATAAAGGCTCTACATATACATTCCTATTAAATATAATTTCACATTAGTCATGTTGTAAGCAAGAATTAGATCCAATAGGAGGAATCACAAGAAAGAGGAAATGCACAAAACAGAAGAAAAGAAAGAGAGCTAATAGTATGCTTCAATCAGCATTCAAACTCCATAGTACTTTCTTTGGATGTGGATAGCATTTTCCATCATGAGACTTTTGGAGATGTCTTAGATCCTTGCATTTCTGAGAAGGGCTAAGTCTATTAGAGTTAGTCATCATACAACGTGGCTGTTGCTGTGTAAAACATTCTCCTGGTTTTGCTTATTTCACTCAGTATCAGTCTGTACAAGTCTTTCCAGATTTTTCTGAAGTCTGCCTGCTCATCATTTCTTATAGCACAATAGTATTCCATTACATTCATAAACCACAACTTGTTCAGTCATTCCCCAATTGATGGGCATCCTCTCAATTTCCATTCTTTGCCACCACAGAAAGAGCTGCTATAAATATTTTTGTACATGTGGGTCCTTTCCCCATTTTTATGATCTCTTTGGGATACAGCCCTAGAAGTGCTATTGCTGAGTCAAAGGGTATGCACATTTTTCGAGCCCTTTGGGCATAATTCCAAATTGCTCTCCAAAATGATTGTATCATTTCACAATTCTGCCAACAATGCATTAGTGTTCCAATCTGCCCACATCTTCTCCAACATTTATCATTTTCCTGTTTTGTCATGTTGGCCAATGTGATAGGTGTGATGTGATACCTCAGAGTTGTTTTGATTTGCATTTCTCTAATCAATAGTGAGAGCATTTTTTCATATGACTATAGATAGCTTTAATGTCTTCATCTGAAAACCGCCTGTTCATATCCTTTGACCATTTATCAGTTGGGAATGACTTACATTCTTATAGGTTTGACTCAGTTCTCTATATATTTTAGAAGTGAGGCCTTTATCAGAGACACTGGCTGTAAAAATTGTTTCCCAGTTTTCTGCTTCCCTGCTAATCTTGGTTGCATTTGGCTTTGTGCAACAACTTTTTAATATAATCAGAATTATCCATTATGCATTTCACAATGTTTTTTATCTTGTTTGGTCATAAATTCTTCCTTTCTCCATAGATCTGACAGGTAAACTATTCCTTGCTCTCCTAATTTGCTTATAGACCCTTTATGTCTAAATCATGTACTGATTTTAACATTATCTTGGTATATGGTCTAAGATGTTGATCTATACCTACTTTCTGCCATACTGTTTTCCAAGCAGTTTTTGTCAAATAGTGAGTTCTTATCCCAGAAGCTGGCATCTTTGGATTTATCAAACAATAGATTACTATAGTCATTAACTATTGTGTCTTGTGTACCTAACCTCTTCCACTGATCTACCCCTCTGTTTCTTAGCCAGTACCAAAAAAGTTTTGAAGATTGCTGCTTTATAATACAGTTTTACATCTGGTATGGCAGGGCCACTTTCCCTTGCATTTCTTTTTATTAATTCCCTTGATGTTCAGAACCTTTTTAGGAACTTAACTTGTAAGTTTCACTGGTGTATTTGGCAATTTGTGTTGCTTGACAATGCATATTTGTTCCAAGTTTTTGTTTTTTGTTAGGAGAGAGGGGAAAAGGAGATGAAATTGTTAATTTTTTTCAAATAAAACTTAATTTTAAAAAAAGTTTTATTGATATCTTGCTTTTCCATTCCAGCCATTTCTAGTCTACTCTCAACCTCTTTTTTTTTTCTCCTAGATTTGGGCCTTTTCTATTAACAATAAACAACAAAAGCATACACTGAACTATCCAACAATATATACAACATTCTGCCTCTGAGTGTACCCCAAAACTTTTCCAAAACATGCAGTATGTTTTATTATATATTTCTTGAGGCTATCAATTATGGAAGAATTTGGCTCCCTTTTGGGGGTTATATTCATTTATATTGCCAGTCATTTGTGCTTATTTTTCTTCAGTTCTACCTAATTCATTTTGTTTCCATTCATTACAAATTTTCCCATAATTTCATGAATTCCACATTTCAGTATTTCATACTGCACAATAATATTAAACAGTTCATCCAGGCATTTCAAGATTGATTAGCATCACCTTGTTTCTATTTCTTTGAATCTTTCTATTTCTGACTTTGGAGTGGATGCCTTGCAAATGGGTCACTTGGTTAAGGTGTATGAATAATTATCACATTTCTGGAATAATTCCAAAATAATTTCTAAGACAATTGGGCCATTTCACTTCAAGGAGCATATTATCCTCACTTGACTCTATCATTCCTTCGAACTATCATCCTATATTATGTTTCCCTCTCACAAACAAAAATTCTAGAAAAAGTTATCTTCTCTTCTTGCTTCCATTTCCTCTTGTCTTCCTAAATCATTTTAATCTGGCTTCTCACATCATTATTCAAGTGAAACTTATCTCCAAAGTTACAATTGCCAAATCCAGTAGCCTTTTCTCAACATCCAGTACAAAGCCTCAAATAAGACCATCTCAAGTAAGGATATGATCCCTTCCAGCACTGTATTATTCCTATTACCTTTGCTTTTTCCAGCTTATTTCCTTTCATGGTTATTACTGCCCCCAAAATAGGGTGATTCAAGTCACGGTCCTTTGAAATTCAATAGTTGTAATTTGTTTAGCTATCACCAGGGGGAGGTGATGCCTCAAGTAATGGAGCCTAGCATTTGCAGTTTTTCTGTTTCCC